CGGGGCTACACAGAGAAACCCTGTCTCGAAAAACAAAACAAAGTGTGTGATCTGTTTTTATATTTTGATTTTACATAGGATTATAGTTTTAAAACTTGCCATGAGCCTCAGAGATGTTGAGCTTTGCACCTTTAAACAGTGTTGAGACTGACAGACTATGAGAACTTTTTTTTTTTTTACTCCATGTAATTTTGTATTCTGTGGCTCCAAGCCCATGGGGAGAGAGTGGAATGTGGGAATTTGAATAGGAATGGCACACAGGGGCTCCATGCTTGAAGGCTCAGTCACCAGGGACTCGAACTCTTTTAAAGGATTAGAAGGACTAAGAGGTGTGGCCTTTCAGAGGAAGCCTGTCACTGGAGGACGGGCTCTCCATCTCCCTGCTATCTGTGGATCTGGGTATGGCTCTCATCGGCTGCTTCAGCGTTATGTGTGCTGCCGAGCTCCCCTTCAAGGTGGAGGAACCGTGTTCTCGTCTCTTCACAGCAATAGAGCAGTGGCTAAGACACTCTTCTCATTATATTGCTTGTCTCTTTAATGGCGTTTAGGGGACAGAAGGCAGGTGTAGCTTGTTAGGGCTGCTGCAGCCCAGGCTTTGACACTAACAACTCCAGTGACACTCCATGAGGCCTCTGATCTACTGGGGTTCCATTACCTAAAGTACCTGAGGAAACGCACACCGCCAGTGACGGACCAGAGCGATGCACACTTACGTTCAAAGCGTTCTTTGCGGCCTCTGCTTCTGAGCGACTGTCGAAACTGACAAAGCCTACGGGCTGAGGGAAAGAGAGAGAAAAATTAAGACAAAAACAAAAAAAACCCAAAAAAAACAATAACAACTCAAGGGACATCTGCTTTCCAGGTCGAGGGTGGCATCTAACTGAAGAACCAAGAAAAAGAAATGACCACAGGCAATGGGTAGAAATGAGAAAGCCAATCCCAACGATCAGGATATGATAATGGCTTAACCAAATTTCTCACGTGAGTCAAAGGGAACATGAGGGCAGTTCCACAAGGGCACAGCCAAGAATTTATAGAGAATCAAGTTTGTTTGTTTGTTTTTTGAGACAGGGTTTCTCTGTGTAGCCCTAGCTGTCCTGGAACTCACTCTGTAGACCAGGCTGGTCTCTAACTCAGAAATCCGCCTGCCTCTGCCTCCCAAGTGCTGGGATTAAAGGCGTGTGCCACCACTGCCCGGCGAGAATTAAGTTTTTTAAAAGGGAGAAAAAAGAACAAAAACAAACCAAAAAAAAAAAAAACCAAGAACAAAAAACAAACCAGGAAGTGGAAGGCAAGCAGCAGTGAATGGGAGGGGGAGGGGGATCTGGGTTGGAGAGGCCCTGAGTGTTCTGATCACATTCACTGTACCTCAGCTTATTCATCTTTTAAATGCAGAGAGAAAGTGAGTCACGGTTTGCTTCACTGTAAGTTCAAGGGATTTAATGACACAGAGGAAGCAGCCCCGTGCTTTCGATGCCCAACGGAAGCTACAAAGTGAGTCTTGCGTCTCACAGCCAGACCGCGCCTTCTAAGACACGTCACATTTACAGGCATGGAAGGACACTGCGCAAAGTAACAGGCTTCTTTTACCTCTTTCCTTGGGTAGGCTGCCTGACGGTCTAGTTCATCTCTGTTATAGCAGAGGTTATGTGACTCATCAAGAAGCTTCAGAGATAAGACACATTTAGACAGTCTCTAAGAACCCTGTCAATCACCACCTCTAGCCTGTCCTTGCTACACTTCACTGCATAACTGGATTCATCTGTTCTGTTGGGTTTTTCGTTTGGATTTGAGACCGGGTTTCACTGTATAGCCCTGGCTACTCTGGAACTCACTCTGTAGACCAGGCTGGCCTTGAACTCACGGAGATCCACCTGCTGGGATTATAGATACGTGTGACCACCACACCACCTGGCTTTTCATCTGTGCTTTTATAGGTTTGGTGGAGACGATTATTTACTGTACAATTATTTACCATATAATATTCCTATGTAAATAACGAAATATTCCATGAAGAGAACCAGGCAAGAATTGTGATTAGGGCTGCAGAGATGGCTCAGCAATTAAGAGCACTGAGAGGACCCACATTTGATCCCCAACACCAACATGTAGCTCACAACTTTAACCCTGGGGACTTATGCCCTCTTCTGACTTCTGTGGACAATGATTGAAGAGACGGTGCACATGAGCAAGGAAACCATCCATATATGTATATGTGCGTGCGGATATACAGTATGTATGTATGTATGTATGTACATACCATTTTCCTATACTAATTCTAAATCAAGTTTGCCTTTAATTCTGATAACACATAGATCAAAATCCCAGCTGAAACAAAAGACTACTTATTGGGCTTGATTAGCAAACGGTGACCATTTTTAGCTGTTCTACATCCTTACCTGTTTTGACGTGAGCTTTATGAGAGAACCTTCATAGCCCTGAAAGACAAAGACCAGGTTCAGAAGAGGAGCGAGCGTTACAATTCCATCCTGCTCAAATAAAACGAGTCTTTAAACCTCCAGAGTTAGTTGGAGAAACACATCACTGGCAGACACCAGACACAGAGTGGGTTGGGAGTAGCTCACTGGAGAGTGTTTGACCAGCATACACAAAGCCTTGGGTTTAGTCCCGAATACTCCCAAACAAAGCAAAACAAAACAAAACAAAAACAAAACCGATAACCATATGAAAACTACCAGGAAGGGCTGAGTAGGGGAGACAGCATTCTAGTGAGCTCTCATTGCTTAATGAGACGACAAGTTTCCATGGTGGAGTCTAACGGGCACATGAAATACACTCCTATGCTTCTGTTCCAGTTCATCTTTGGAAGCTGGGAGGCATTCCTGTCTTTCTTTAGCTCTCTTTCAGTCCTCCTGGATACTCAGGAGAGAAATTAGTACTTCTAGAAATATCTATGACTGGTAGAATGCACTGACAGGTGACACAAGGGGAAACACACAGATTATCAGTGAGGAGACAGACTCACCGAGCAGGGTCAACTGCCCTGGGCCATAATTAAAAGAGGGAGGCTAGGGATATTGCAAAGTCCTGACTTCAGCATTGGGGTTTCTAAGGATAGTACTGGGACTGATTGATCCTTCTGTCTTTCCCAACAGAAACCTGAGTTGCCAACTAGCTACTGTAAACATTTACATCCAAGGCCTTGAGTGCAGGTCTCCAAGACAGTCCTAATTCACAGCACTGCCTCTTCCTATTTCCCAAGGGGCTCTTTCTCTTAAAAATCCCAGAGATTGCAAACCTTGAAAGCCTCAAATGCCAAGGGCAAACAGTATTTCACTCAGTTAAGACAGCACTAAGAATGATCACAAACAGGAACCAAATGGTTTCTCTCTGCTGTCATTGTTACTGATGCATTATGGGAATGGCTATCTACCTTTCCACACACGGTGCCTTCTTGACACAGCAACTGTACTCTCGAATTTGTGGGTCATATCTGGCTGTTCCCTGAATCAGTCTCCTTCCCAACTCTCGTGTGTTCTGCTGCCTTATCCCTCCCAAGCTGAATCCTGTTTCTCAACTGTCCTTCCGTTAGGACAATCTTCCATCAGAAACCAAAGCCATCACCATCTCTTAACTGTAAGGCTGTCCCATAACAAGCCTCAACACTCTTCCTGCTGCTAACAAAACCTCGCTTAACTCACAGGTCCTGAATTCATGGTGCCCTCCAGGCCATATTCTGGGTCTGAAAGGCCTTCAAAGTTTTGTCTTGAGAGCATAGTTACTCCGGTTTCCGCCCAACTTTCAATCCCCAACAACATTCACTATCTCTAAGGTGACTGCATTTCCATAGGAACGACAGGAAACTCCCTTAGACAGCTCATTAAATACCAGGCAAAGATTTCCCTTCAGTTCATACAAAGTTAGCCTGTAACACTTTGTTTTGTTGAACACTTGAAGCCCAAGGTTCTTAACAATGCGTATTCATGCTCACACAGAACTGTCAACAGTGCCATTTCAGTGAATAAAGCACCATCCATGAACAGGGCTCAAAACACATCGCTGCATTTCAAATATGAAAGTGTAATAAGTAGTTTATACCATCGGTGGTGAGGGGAGTGCTGGGGAAATCAAACCCAGGATCTTATACCATTAGGTAAGTGCTCTACCAGAGAACTAGCGTATTTCTGACTCAGTCTGGAACTCTAATGCTCTGCCATTAGGGGAATGCCTCTGACTAGAGGTTACTGATGCTGAGCAACATGGACTAGAAAATGCTGGGACCAGCCACCTCTCCACAGCAGTGAGAGAACAGACTGCTGGGAGTGTATTGTCAGAGACCAAAGGACAATGATAGTCTACCTCCACACACATACACATATACACATACATACATATATATACACATATATGCATACACATAAACACACACACATACACACATACATATATACACATACATACACATAACATACGCATACACACATACACATACGTATATACACACATAAACACACACACATAATCTGTTACAGGGCACTTTCCCAAACACATTCCCACTCTAAGGCCACGATGAAGCATTCACTAAGTACCTTGAATGGTCTGAAGAGCAGGTACAGCTCTCGGGGCTTGATGTCCAGAGGCAGACCGCTGACGAATAGGGTCCGGACCTAGAAAATAAACGTAACAGGAGAGTGGTCAAGGGTGTAGAGAACCCAGAGGCTACCTTTCATCTTAAATCTCAACAGACCCCCGACTCTTCTAACAATGCTCTTTCTATGCCACGATAAAAGGAAGCTGCGTGTCATTTTAGTATTAGTTTAAAACGGTATCATGAGGATAATAGTTTTCCCGATCTTCTTCCACAACAACAGGACAAACTTGAAAGAAAACTCAAGTTTTGATTTCTCTTGCTTCAGTCTCTCGCCACTATGTCCCTTGGTGGTGTTAATTACCATTATTTTAACAAGCGTAAAAGTACTGAGATTAAGTCAAGCACACCTACACAAGAGCCTGCAAGGTAACCACTCTGTTCTTCTCACTGCCTGCTGTTTCTCCTGGGTTCTATGACACAACCAACATACACCTTCAAGGTACCTGCCAGGTGCCAATGACAGAAGCCTCCCAACACATTTGGGAACATACATGGAGGGAGACACTGAGCACAAACACTGCTGTCTGCTAAGGGAAACAACAATGACAACCTGCTTCTGACTAAAAATCAGAGAAGGCAAGTTGGACGATGAACTAGAACCTAAAAAGGATTTTGGGGGGGGGGCATCAAGTGGAGGGTAGGAAGGAAGTACGGGTGGGGCAAAGTGTAAGGCAGCACATTCTAGGGGCAGAGTGTGTCAGACTACACAGGAACCTAGGGTCAAACCATCGGGCGCATCAAAAGCTAATGGCTCAGGAACTGATCCAGGCTAGGACTGGCTGCGGAGTAAGCATGGCCTAGTCATCAGCTTGAATACAACATGACTGTGCTTCTCCTCCTTATCAGATACCATGTTCAATCATGAACCATAGGTAAGTGACGGAGAGGGAAACTACATCCTAGATTTCTAACACGTTCCACAGTTGTGTACAGAATCGAAAATCGGTAAGGCCCTTTTATTGGTCCAGCACAGTATGGCGACAGGCCATCTGCATGTCTGCATGCTAGTGGTTCATACATGCTGTTACACAGCAGTCTCAGAATTATGACTGGTTTCTTCAAATTTATTTAAACATCTATGCTACATGTCTTTAAAATGTAGGATTTGTTCAGTTTACACACACACACACACAAACACACACAAATAAATGTACGAAACCATCAAAACTAAGAAAACTCATCATCTTTAATGGTGCCTCCTCTGTCTTGCTTCACAGAGCAGGTAAGCCTTGAACTCACAACTCTTATTCTTTTAATCCTCCCTCCTATCCCTGTTCCACCAACCCCAGGCATCCACTGTGCCTACTGATGAATACACATGCTCCAAAGTCAAAACAGCATCACAAGATAGAAGTGCCGAGTTTGTCTCGGTTCACTGCTGTTTATATAAAGCTAATTTCATCCACATTGATTTCTGTCTGAAGTCCAGTCATCCCTTCTTACTGAGTAGCATTCTGTTATATGGATATACCGGTTCATTTCTCCATAAACCTGTTGATACAGGTTTAACTTAAAAATGAAATTCTCCTTCCTTGTTTTATGCCTCAGAGCATTGCAAATGTGCTCTGAGTTCTTTAGACACACACGCGTGTGCTTTGCTGCTGTTCGGTGGAGTAGTCTAATACAGTCAATTAGGTCAAGTTTGTTGACCAAACTTCTTATGTGTTTTTCCTTTCTTCTTCCGACTCCGACACAAAGACAGCTCCTGAGGAGAAGGAGAAATTGCTGACAGCTGGGTGAGGGAACGCTACTACCCAGATGCTCACCTGCCTTCTCATGGAGCAAAACAGAATATGAGCTGGGTGGTTCTAATGGGGACAGCCTGGGCAAGAGAATTAAATTACCCCTAACCTCAAGGACCTGCCACTTCCTAACTCTGTGCTGAGTGTGGACTGGATGGAAGGTTTGCACAGAAACTACGGATGTGCAGGCCTGTTACTTAACAGGACACCGTTTGCCCAGGAGTAGAGCCTGCTATGGGATACACTGGTTAGATTTGGGGAGTTCACTCAACAAATTAAGTTAAATTTCTAATACTGTTCTAAAGAAAAAGGTTTTACAGACTTGGCAGGCAATTTACCAACAACACAGTAGATACCTGGAGATCGTGAACAAAAGACAATATATATATCAAGGTTCATTTAAAACAGAATAGTGTATTACACCACCAATGAAAAAAAATAGGTACAAAAACAGGGTGTCAAGAAGGCTCAGCAGGTAAAGCCACTTGCTACCAAACCTAACCATTCGTATTCTAGAAAGAACCATCTTCCCTAAGGTGACTTCTGACTCGCCCGTGCGTGTGCTTGCACATATACAAGAGAACAGATGAAAAAATAGAAAATGTGCAAGGAAAAGATATCGTTTGGTTTCAGCACTTCAAGAGGGAAGAATCTTTTAGGATACAGATGCAAGCGTCTACGATGAGCTCAGAGTGGTAGAAGGGCCTCAGTGGTTACAACAGCTTCCGTTTTTCCTCATTTTACATTATACTTGAAGGTGTTTGGAGTTTTTGCTTTTAGACGGGGTTTCATGTACCCCAAGCTGGCCTCAAACTATGCAGCTAAGGCTAACCCAGAAGATAGGGTTAGGGGTCAGAGTCTGGGTATTGTTAGGGGTAGCTGTCAGATTAGGGTAGAGTAGGGGTAAGGAGAGGGGTAAGGTTAAGGTAAGGGTGAGAGTTAGGGTTCGGGTTAACATTCTTCATCCACCTCCGAAGTGCTGGTATTATAGACATGCCCCGCATTATGCTCGGATTAAACACTTCAGGTTTTTGTTAAGCTGAGGATTGCCTTGATTACTTGCTTTGTCTTAAGACAGTTAAGAGAGGTTGGTAACTGTACTAACATAAATTGTCTTCTTTGTGGAGGAAGCCTTAGGTAAATATTCTGGATTTGACAGGCTTTTGTTCAAATGTTCTAGTAAGAAACTGCCATATATGGGAGAGGAAGAAAAACCACCTCTTGCTATGCCCAAGTGCGCAAGTAACTTATAAACACAAGAGGCTCAAAACCAACTCTTGATTAAGTTGTGCGCAACTAACAAAAGACTGGTGTTTCAGGTCAACATGGACAATATGGTGTTCCCTAGAGTCTAGGGAAGCTCACTCCGTCTCAGAAGCCTACCTCACCATCTGGGGTCTCTCATACCTTTACCACGACCGAACAGTGGAGGAAACTGATAAGGGAAAATAATTCTTGAATATTTGCATTGTACATTGCCATTCAACTAAAGGCCACTAGCTTCAAGAGGATGATATGCTTACAATCTAGTCTGCTCCAGATTTGGTAAACTTAACTGGCCTCATTTTTAAAAAGGAGGAGGAAGGAGGAGGGGAAAGAGGGGTGGGAAGAAAGGGAGGGAGAACGAGGGAGGAGGAGGGATAGAAGAGAAAGAAAATCTAGATAACAAGTGGAAAAATAACTCTGTAAATCTCAGTTGTACTTTCCTATGTCAACCAGGGAAAGAATCACAAGATTTAAGACACGTCTCATCAGCGCACTCAGTCTGGGTCGGGACATAGGGACATAGCAGTGCACTGCAATCAGAAAGACAAGATCCTCACTGCGGGGAGCTTACTGCCGCAAACTCAACAATCATCAATGGCAGCATAAGTTTAGCTCTGTCACATGGTGGCCCAACGGGAACCAGAGAGATAAAAGGTTTATACTCCAAATAATCCCTGACCCCTCCCCTCAAAGGAAGGCTGCTGAGTGAACTCTGCAGTAGTCCTTAATTTACCAGCCCTGTCTCTGAACACAGATGTGCTGGGCACCATGCCTTCAACATCCCAGATGTTCCCTTTATAAAACACAGGAAAGGGCGTCTCTTAGTCAAGGACAAAGAGAAGTTCAAGAGATGACGCCGGTGACAGATATGTCCCAAAGAGGCTCTAATGGATCCTGTGGGCTCGACTTTCAGTTTTGTCCCAACAAGGCTAAAGATTTGACAGAAGAGACTCTGCTCTGTGTTAGACAGAGGAACACTCCTGCCTTAGCCACTATCTAGAATTACTGCAGAGGCCACGGCTGGGCTGTAGGTAAAAGCCACCAATCGGTCTCTGGTGTGAGTATCACTTCCTTATTGGAAAAACACAGCATCATTTTAGTGACTGACTTCTTACTTGATAAACTTCACAAGTCACTGAGCAAGTCTGAAGCTTGCCTGGATCAGAAGACTGGTACACACTCTGAAAAGACAAAGTCGCTGTTTGTGACAAAGAATATGTTTCACATGAGGAGGGTAGGTAAGATCCGGAGCAGTGGGGAAGGCTTAATTCTAGCACATGGTAATGTTCATCTGTAACCAGTGGTCACAACCTTACAACGGCTTTCACGACCTCCTCCACGTGTATCACGCTACAGAAAAAGGCCAATTTTCACTTTCTAAAGGCCTGGAGTAGCCCTCGATCAAATTTTCAACATTCTCTAAAATTACCTTTTTTTCTTCTTGACAGGGTCTTACGGTGCAGTATAGGCTAGCCTCAAATTTACAACCCTCCTACCTCACTCTCCCAAACTGGGAACACAGGCACGGTTCAGCACATGGGGACTCTGAGTACCAGATCTGTGTGTGTACACGTGCTCTTGAATGTGTGGACTCACGTGGCAGTCAGAGAATAACATTTATGAGCTGGTTCTCCTGGCACCATGCAGGTCCCTGGAATTGAACTTGGGACATGCGGCTTGACATCATGTGCCTTCAATCAGAACCAACTCATTTGCCTTTCAATTTGAATTGGCCAGTTCATTTCCCTTTCCCATATAACTGGTCTATACAAACCTCTAAATGTGCTGTATGAATCATTCCTCTGTAAAAACTATTATTTTAGAAGCAAGATACAAAGGAATGATCTCTCTCAGGTTACAAAAAAGATTCCTTTTTGCAGTGTGTCACACGGTAGGAGGCACAGAGGGTGCAAGTGTCTCTGGGCTGATTTATGAGCCTTCAAATACATGCACACCCAAAGCGCATAGGTATTTGCTCGTCAAAAGGTTCCGAAGACGACACGACAAA